GGCTCTGGGTAGCTGCTGCCAACCACGGAGCCTGGGCTGCTTGCAGCAGGGCTTGCAGCTTCCCAGCCGCCTGCTGGGAGCAGCCTGGGCTCCGTGGTTGGCAGCAGCTACCCAGAGCCGGGCCTGGTGGTGGTGTGTTGAGCAAAATGGCCTCACGTGCCGTGGGTTGCCAACCCCTGGTCTAACCTCTTGGCAAAACTACATAGTTCATGTATAGAGCCACATACTCTTGCCAATATGGCAGGAACACAGGATTTGTTATCATTAGCCTTAAATACATGCATCGTAATGCCACATGGTTATGGTCCAGTGCTAGGTTGCTGTCTGGCAGCTCTTGATGTAGATTAGGGAAGGGAAAGAAGGATTCTAGTTTACATGCCATTTCTGCAACCCCTCTTCAGGTGTGGATACTAACCCCTGCTTCAAGAAACCTTGGTCCCTGGTGTGAGTCGGGGCAACCAAAAGGCTACTCAAGTTTGTTTCTGGCCCCGGTGACTCCAAGGGTCACCAGAAGTCCTCACTGGCAGTGGAAATCTTTCCACTGATCTTAGTGGGTTCTGAATCAAGTTCTATAAACTTAATGAAGGGTATGCACAAGATGAACTTCTAGAGAGAGAGAGATTTTAGAGATGCTTGAATCTGTTTCTGTACAAAATATTGTAGTTTAACTTCAGTAAGACTAAGGAAAAATATAAAATTGCCTTCTGGATACATTTCTATAGCCCAGACAATCCAGGGTAGCTGTAGATACAGCCTTCTCTATCTAGCTGGTATTTTTTCAGCCAATGTTCATCCTCTTTCTCAGTGAATTCTGTCCTTTCCAAAGTGCTCTTTCCCAAGTACTTTAGTACTCAATCTGCTTTCTAGAGTTTTTAAAGTGCTGCAACATACTTATTGTGCTTAGAGTGTCATGAAACTGAAAATCCTGATTACTAGCCTCTTCAGATGCTGCTCTTGGATGAACTCAGCAGTAAGAGTGTGCTTTTCTTGAAGTGCATATAAACAACAAATGTAGAAAATATACACTGAAATTAGAATATGTAACATTAGAATACCCAGGCAACCTTTTTGTTATATACGTATCTCCAGATACTATTCCTATGAGTTTCAGACACTAAAATATAAGTTATCATATCAGTTTATATTAATTCATACAGTGATATCATAAATGTGAAATCCAAAGAGACTAGTGAAACTGGGCGTGTCTACGCATACAACTAATCTGGGATCAGTTTACTCTTGAGTAAATTACTCAAGAGTAAACTCTCATGGGCATGTGTCTACATGTGCAGGGATGCAGGAGTAGACTTGCTGCTTCTAGCAGCAGACTGCTCCCACTTTCTGCACCCTGCAATGGACCCCTGGGTGGTAGCCCAGGGACCAGGAGACAGCTGTCTCCTGGCAGGGGCTAGGACATTGATCCTTGTACCTGGGAGCTGGTTGTTGCCTGGGCGGGCTCTGCCATGAGCTGGGGTGGGGACAGTGTCCCCCTGCCTTGGCAATAGGCAGCTCCCAGCCCCCCGTCTGGGACTGTGGGGCCTGGGTTAGGAGATCCTTCTCTCCCAGCACCAGCCGTGCAACCACAGAGCTGGTGCTGGAAGAGAAGGATCTTCTGGCGCTGCAACCATGGGGCTGAGACTGGGAGATGAGGATCTCCTGGCCCCAGCCCCACGATCGCAGGGCTCGGGCTCAGAAATAAGGATCTCTCAGCCCCAGCCCTGAGGTCATGGAGTGGGGGCTGGGAGCTCCATGCTGCCGGGGGAAAGGAGATATTGTCCCTGCCCAGGCTCTGATGGCAGAGCCTGCCTCAGCAGCAGGCAGCTCCCAGGGTCAGGGAGCATTCTCCTGCCCTCTGCTGTCCTGCTGACCAGCAGCGCCTTTGCTCCTGGTTAGGTGTCTACACATGTGCTACTGCACAGTAAGTAATCTCGACTAAATTTGCTACTTGCATTTGCAGGTAGCAAATTTACTTGTGATTAGAGCCGATTACTGTGCAGTAAGCATCTTCACATGTAGATGTGGATGCTTACTGCGCTGTAATTAGTTCTACTGCACAGTAAAGCATCTTGTGTAGATGGATCCGCTGATAACTATGTAGAATTGTTTCTCCTTGAATCATTTTCCAAGTGGTTTTTAAAAAATAATATTCTTGTAACAGGGTTGCTTTCCTTACGCGTGTGAAACCTAGAACCACCAGTGGGATTCCTTTCCACGTGTAGAGAAACAGGGTAAACCCCACACTCCCTAGGCTGTAAAGACCTGAAAAACTCTAAAAGATGCAAATCTCCAGTTGACTCCTTAAAATATAAACTGCACAGGTAAGGAATATTCGTTTCCTTTATATTTGTCTTAGCCAGCATCAAAATAATGTTGCAGTTAACAAGCAGGTATTAATTTGGTATGGGTTTGCTTCAATTAGAATTAAGAAAGTAAGTCCATAAAGGCTGAGCGTCTATATTTGACATAGTGTGCATGTGTATGTGTTCATTAATGTACCATAATTATGGTGCATCAAGTTTGGTACCTGTTATGACAGGTACTTAATTCACCATAATCGACACTACTGCATATAAA